CTCGCGATCGGTTTTGCAAATATAACCGGTTATTCGATTCTTTCTGGTTTAGCCATGGGAATGGAACCAATTTGTGGACAAGCATTTGGTGCTAAAAGGTTCAAGATTCTTGGCCTTAGTTTACAAAGGACAATTCTTCTTCTTCTTTTGGTATCAATTCCAATTTCATTCATGTGGTGTAATATGAAAAATATCTTAATCTTTTGTGGCCAAGATCATGAAATAGCCACACAAGCACAGAGTTACATTATTTACTCTATTCCTGATCTTTTTGCTCTCTCGTTTTTACATCCGTTGAGGATTTATCTTCGTTCTCAATCGATTATAATGCCTCTAACGTATTGTGCTGCTCTCGCGATTCTTGTTCATATTCCAATCAACTATTTTCTTGTTATAGTCCTTAATCTTGGTATTAAGGGTGTTGCTTTAAGTGGGGTTTGGACAAATTTCAATCTTGTGGGGTCATTAATCGCGTACATTATAGTGTCAGGGGTACATAAGAAAACATGGAGCGCGATTTCTATAGAGTGTTTTAAAGGGTGGAAAACACTTTTAAATTTAGCCATTCCAAGTTGTATTAGTGTTTGTTTAGAATGGTGGTGGTATGAAATTATGATTTTATTATGTGGATTATTGTTAAACCCTAAAGCAAGTGTTGCATCAATGGGAATTTTGATTCAAACAACAAGTTTGATATACATTTTCCCTTCTTCTTTAAGTTTTGGTGTATCAACAAGAGTTGGAAATGAACTTGGTGCTAATAGGCCAAATCAAGCAAAAATAGCTGCAATTATTGGACTATGTTATAGTTTCATTTTTGGACTATTGGCATTGTCATTTGCTATATTAGTGAGGAATATTTGGGCAAGTATGTACACTCAAGATGAAGAAATTATCGCGTTAACGTCGATAATTTTGCCTATAATTGGACTTTGTGAGCTCGGAAATTGTCCACAAACAACAGGTTGTGGAGTATTAAGAGGAACAGCTAGACCTAAATTGGGTGCTAATATTAATCTTGGTTGTTTTTATCTTGTTGGAATGCCAGTAGCTATTTATTTAGGGTTTTTTCGGGGTTTCGATTTTGAGGGACTTTGGATTGGATTATTAGCAGCTCAAGCTTCATGTGCAGTGACAATGTTGTTGATTATTTTTGCAAGAACAAATTGGGAAGATCAAGCTAGAAGAGCAAAAGAGTTAACTGCAAATATACAAGGAGATTTTGGTCAAGAAAATGAAGAAGAGGAAGAAGAGAAGTTTATTATTGATGAAGAAACTGCAGAATGTTCATTTGATTATTATCAAAAGCTTGATGGAAGTATAATTGTTTGAATTGTATGATTTGATCAATTCTTGGATTATTGATTATTCTTTCATCTTTTTTTTAAAAAAAAATTATTTTATATATTGTTTATTGTTCTTTATATCTGTGTTGTTCGGACTCTTCAAGAATATCGCGGGATGTGTGGCAGATCATCTAACAGTAGTGCATTTTTGAAGAGTACAAGCAACATAGCTTGATATAGACACAGAGAGAAACAGGGAGAGTTAGTAGAAATTATTTTTTCCTTGTATTTTTGTGATATAATTAATGGTGGAAGCAGGCATATTTTGTGCTAAAATCTTGTGTTGTCTAATTTGATCAATTCTTGGATTTTTATTGATTATTCTTTCATCTTTTTTTAAACACATATTTTATATATTGGTTATTGTTCTTGATATCTGTGTTATTCAGACTCTTCAAGAAAGATGACGGGATGTGTGCGAAATCATCTAACAGTAGTGTATTTTTGGAGGATCTGACATGAGTGCGCCGACATTTTTAGAGAGTTCGAGCAACATAGCGTGACACAGACACACAGAGACAGCGAGAGTTAGTAGAGATTATTTTTTTTCCTTGTATTTTTGTGATATAATTAATTGTGGAAGCAGGCATGTTTTGTGCCAAACTATTGTGTTGTCTATATATTTTATAAGTTGATTAGCATGGTTTTAATGTTCCCTCCTTCTCAAACAGAAATCAAATGTTTGACTTCTGAAGTCAAATCTTTGTTTTTTTGTCCTTCTTTTGCTCTTTCAATTTTGGTCCCTTGACTTGTAATCCATACTCTAATTTCTAAAATCTAATATTTATTTTTAGTGTTGTTATGTGGATGTTGGGTATAAATCGTGATGACTTGTTTGTTTGGTGTTAAAAAAATATGTTTTATTATTTCGATTTAATCATCGGGTATCTTAACGTCATGAGCTCGACTAGTTCAGATTTGCAAAAGGTAGGCTGACTAAATGATATAAAGCTCTATCACCTAGAGGTTCTTTGTATCAAGTCTGAACCCGAGACCTCCGATTAAGGTTTTTCCGGTGGTAGCTTGGGCAGTCTGGTGCACTAAGACCCCGGCTATGCGCGGGGTCAAAGGAAGGGTCGAACCACAAGGATCTATTGTACGCAGCCTTACGCTGTATTTCTGCAAGTGGCTGTTTCTACGACTTGAACTCGTGACCTCCAAGGCTCTCCTTCCCGATGGTAGCATAATTTGTTATTATCATAGGAACAAGGTGGAGTTTCTTTTGTTTAAAAAATAATAATTTGTTTTGACTTTAGAAAAGTCAATTGTCTAGTTTAAGACTATATTAGAACAAGGTGGTAACCAATTAATCACAGTAGATTAAGTCATTACAATGACATATTAAGCTGATGGATTTTGAAGTTTATAAACAAAAAGACAGAATTTAAAAGTATAAAATATAGTTTCAATATTGAGATCTTTTTTTAGAATATGAGGCATGAGAATTGGAAAATTAGATAGATTATTCAATATTTGCAACTGCCAGCTACGTAACCAAGTAAACGACCGTATTGTTCTATTCTTTCAATTTTGTCTTCATTAAAAGTATGTTGTTTTTCTTCTTTTTGAATGGTCTAAGTTATGGCCTCATGTGCTCTAAGCTTATTTGGATTTTGGCATCTTTAGTTTACCTGAATTTGGCATTTTATACGACTCCCATAAATGGAAAGGATATGCTCCCTCACCTAACCAACACCACCACATATATATTGTAAAGAAATAAGAAATTAAAAAATTAAAAAAAATAAAAAGAGAAAACACCAGCAATGTATATATATATATATATATATATATATATATATATATATATAAAAATTATCATCACAATTTTAATAAAATATTAAATTTCAAAATAATTTCAAAAGTGCCATAAATTTAATAAATAAAAATTTAAAGGTAAAACTCATCAAATTTAAGTTCTAAATGCGCTTGCGCTCTCTCTCTCTCTATATATATATATATATTAGTCTTGTGCTATTTCCTCCAGTAATCTATTCTTGAAACTTGCCCTATCACAAGTGAACTTTTGTCCATTTTTCCTTTGCAAATGTTCCACTTGCGTAGTGTAGAAATAGGTGCAGTAACATAATAAGGAGAAGAAAATTGTTAATCAGGAAGTTATTGTACAGTTGTCATAGTTGTTAGAAATAGAGTAGGGCCCACTAGCTTGTTAGTGGACGTTAATTATATATGTGTACATATAGACAATGTACTGTAACATTGAAATATACAGAAACAGTTTTCCTTTCTCTTCTTCTTCTTCCTCAGCTCATGTAACCGCCATGACTAGAGCTCTTCTTCTCACGCATGCACTGTGTTCTAACATGGTATCAGAGCTCTAGCTCTGAATTACAGCTCGCAAATCGATCCAGATCTGTAAATCTACTCTCTCAAGTTTCTTCTCTTTTTTCTCCCCAAATCTGAAGCTTTAAGTCGTGGTCAACAATGGCGAACGACAATTCTGAGCAGGAAACACCTGCAGAAGTAACTCAAGTAACTAAAACTTCACAAGTCTCATCGGAGGATAAATTTGAAGAAGGAATCTCAGTTCCAATCACTCATCCTCTGTATTTGGCATCCACTGATACAAGTTGAATTTCTCTGATCTCTTTTCAATTAACAGGAACAGACAATTTCTCGCTGTGGTATAGATCTATGAAAATTGCTCTTCTAGGTCGAAATAAGCTCGGAATGGTTGACGGAAGGTGGAAGAAGGAAAAATTCCGAGAAAAATACCGGTACCAGTGGGAGAGATGCAATGCAATTGTCTTATCGTGGTTGATGAATGTTGTAGCACCGACATTGATCAGCGGAATTGCTTATGCTACCAATGCACACACTGTGTGGATGGATCTACAAGAGAGGATCGACAAGGTTAATGATACTAGATGCTATAATCTACACAAAGAAATTGCAACCCTAACTCAAGGTATCTCTTCTATATCTGTGTACTACTCTAAACTCAAAGATCTATGGGATGAAACTAAAGATCTAGTTCCTCATCCTGGTTGTGATTGCCCTAAAACTAAAAAATTCATTGAAGACCTGCACAAACAAAAACTATATCAATTCCTTATGGGATTGAATGATTCATAGTCACAAGCTCGTAGTCAGATTCTTATGATGAAACTTGTTCTCTCTGTGAATCAAGCCTATGCTACGTTAATGAGTGAGGAAAGTCAAAGAAATGTAGCAGGATCAACAGGAATTCTAGGTGCCGGACCTAATGTCACCAGTGGTCACTATGAATCTACAGCTCTTTACAGCTCCAAGTCTGATAATAGACCAAAACACAGGAAGAACTTCAATCTATACTGTGACTTTTGTAAACTAAAAGGTCATAGCAAGGAGACTTGCTACAAAATAGTTGGTTATCCGGCTGACTACAGATCTAAGAAGAAAGGGGGAGCTGGTGCTTACAATGCAGTAGCTGAATATGGATCAGCAGCTAGTAACTACAGCGCAGCACCACCTGACCTAAGTTCCTACACACAGTCTAGTGGACAACCAAGCCCTGGCCCTCAGATAACCACTATGCAGCCAAGGTCTGGTCAAACCTTGCAACACAACAGTCACACTATCAATATGGAGCTACAACCACAACATAGAGGAGGTGGTGCCTTTCCCTTTACCAAGGAACAATATGACTAGATTATGCAAATTCTGAACAGCAATACAGTCAGCCCTACCTCAACAAACATCAACAACTCTACACCTACATCACAGGCTCATGCAGCAGGTACAAGTGTTGCCTTACTAGCTTCCAATAGTCCACACGAATGGATCATTGACACAGGGGCAACTAATCACATGGTGTCTAATCTCAATTTATTAGATAAGACAACTGTAACTGCTCCTCCTAGTCCTAGAAAGGTTCTCTTGCCAAATGGAGATGTCACACAAGTAACTCATGTTGGAGATAGTCATATATCACACAACAACACACTAAAAGAAGTACTTTATGTGCCAAAGTTCAAGTATAACCTATTGCCAGTGTCAAAATTGACAAGGGACCTAAGGTGTTTTGCCTCTTTCTATCCTTTTTTGTGTGTTTCATGAGCTCTTCAATGGCAGGGTGAAGGAGATTGGTAGAGAAAGAGATGGACTGTACTTTCTTCAACAACATGGCAATAAGAGATTGACTGCTGTGTCCTTGGCAGCTGTTAACACACAAGCTGACTCCTCAGTTAGTTCCAGTGATATAGTTTTATGGCACAGGAGGCTTGGCCATGTGTCTATAATTACTTTGTAGAAACTATTCCCTGTTAAGCTAGCTAGTATTGCTAATGCCATTAATAATTGTTGTGTGTGTCCCTGTGCTAAACTAACCAGGACATCATTTCCTCACAGTAGTATTAAGAGTACTAGTGCATTTGACCTCATTCATGTAGATGTTTGGGGACCCTATAAAACTTCAACCTGTGATGGCTATAAATACTTTCTCACAGTAGTTGATGACTTCACTAGAATGACTTGGGTTTTCTTACTGAAATCGAAATCTGATGTGTGTGTTGTATTACCACAGTTCCTAGCTTTTGTTCACACTCAGTTCAATAAAACAGTCAAAGTGGTGAGATCTGACAATGGTTCTGAGTTTCTAAATTCAGTATGTAAGACAGTCTTCAATAAGCTTGGTATTCTTCATCAAACCACCTGTGCATACACTCCACAGCAGAATGGAGTGGCTGAGAGGAAGCACAGGCATCTCCTACAAATCACCAGAGCTCTGAGATTTCAAGCCCACATTCCTATCTAGTTTTTGGGTCATTGTTTCATCACTGCAGCCTATCTGATCAATAGACTACCATCTTCAGTGTTGAAAGGATGTTCACCTTATGAGCTGCTGTACAAGAGAAGGCCTCAGCTAGGTCACCTCAGAACTCTAGGCTGTTTGTGCTTTGCTAAGCAAGTGCAGGAGACAGACAAGCTTATGCCTAGGGCCAAACCTGCTGTTCTCATGGGGTTTTCAGACACTCAAAAAGGATATATTCTTTTGGATATCTCTACACATCAATTCTTTGTCAATAGGGATGTCGTCTTTCAGGAGGATGTATTTCCCTTCAAAGACTCTTCAAATGTGTCTCCTCCTGTCTTCTCTTCCATTCCCTCACCTCCTAGTTGTGAAGAGGTGTCCAGATATGCTTCTCCTTCCACTTCTTCTCCTCACATAAATCCTTTTAATTCTTCTCCTCACATACTTCCTTCTCCTTCTGATAGTTCTAAACCTTTGTCCATTGCCCCTGAGCCTTGTCCCCCTCTGAGGAGGTCTCTCAGACCAAAGCATCCCCCATTGTGGCTTAAGGACTTTGTCACTCCGCCCTCTGCCACCACTACACCATATTCCTTAGCCAACTATGTGTCTTATGACTCTCTATCTCCTTCTTATCAGTCCTTTATTGCAGCCTTCTCCTCCATTGTGGAACCATCTTCCTATGCTGAGGCTATTCAAGACTCTAGGTGGGTGGAGGCTATGAAATCAGAAATTGCTGCTTTGGGAGCTAATCACACTTGGGATGTTGTTTCACTTCCTCCAGGCAAGGTGCCTATTGGTTGCAAATGAATCTTCAAGGTGAAGTACAAGGCTACAGGAGAGGTTGAGAGGTTTAAAGCCAGATTGGTGGCCAAGGGGTTCAGCCAATAGGAAGGTATTGATTATCAGGAGACCTTCAGTCCAGTTGTGAGGATGGTCACAATTAGGACCATACTCTCTGTTGCAGCTTCTGAGATTTGGCATATCCACCAGATGGATGTGTACAATGCTTTCCTACAAGGAGACTTGCCTGATGAAATCTATATGACTCTCCCTCAGGGATTTCAGAGTCAGGGGGAGTGTAAGCCAGTGTGCAGACTCTTGAAATTCTTATATGGTCTCAAACAAGCACCCAGACAATGGAATGCAAAGTTATCAGAGGCATTGATCAGCTTTGGATTCACACAGAGTCAACATGACCACTCCTTGTTTGTACAAGGTACTGGCAGCTGCATTGTGGTTATATTACTCTATGTGGATGATATGCTCATCACAGGACCTGATTTGAGACTAGTAGAAGAAACCAAGACTACACTTCAGAAGACCTTTAAGATGAAGGACCTAGGGGAGCTGAAATACTTCCTTGGGATAGAGTTTGCTAGATCACCACAAGGTATTCTAATGCATCAAAGAAAATATGCATTAGAACTTGTATCAGAACTTGGGCTGGGAGCTGCAAAGCCTGCTGTTACTCCTCTTGAAGCAAATGTGAAACTCACTACTCCACAGTATGATGAACACACAGGCATAAACACCTTGGATGATGCAATTCTACCAGATGTAACTTGCTATCAAAGGCTACTGGGGAAGCTCCTATATTTGACAGTAACAAGACCAGACATTGCATTCAGTGTTCAAACTCTTAGCCAGTTTATGCAAAAGCCTAAGAAATCTCATATAGAGGTAGCACTCATGGTGGTCAAGTATGTCAAGAATCACCCTGGACAAGGAATACTTCTCTCTAGTCAGAAGAAAGATGTTATCTCAGCCTTCTATGATGCTGATTGGGAAGCATGTCCATTGACTAGAAAATCTGTGAATCGATTCTTTATAAAGTATGGGGATTCACTGATATCTTGGAAGTCAAAGAAGCAAAGCACTATTTCTAGAAGTTCTGCAGAGTCAGAATATAGAAGCATTGCAACAACAGTGGCTGAATTGGTATGGATATTTGGGCTACTCAAGGACATTGGAGTAGTATTTGAATTACCAGCCACTATCTTCACTGACAGTAAAGCAGCCATACAAATAGCTGCTAATCCTGTCTTCCATGAACGAACCAAACACATAGAGATTGATTGCCATTTCATAAGACAGAAGATTCAGCATGGACTAATCAAGAGAGAATATGTGGGAACCAAAGAACAATTGGTAGATGTGCTGACCAAAGGACTGCCTAGAGCTCAGCATGAATACTTAGTGTCCAAGCTAGGCTTACTGAATATTTTTATACCACCTAGCTTGAGGGGGAGTGTAGAAATAGGTGCAGTAACATAATAAGGAGGAAGAAAATTGTTAATCAAGAAGTTATTGTACAACTGTCATGGTTGTTAGAAATAGAGTAGGGCCCACTAGCTTGTTAGTGGACGTTAATTATATATGTGTACATATAGACAATGTGCTGTTACATTGAAATATACAGAAATAGTTTTCCTTTCTCTTCTTCTTCTTCCTCAGCTCATGTAACCGCCATGACTAGAGCTCTTCTTCTCACGCATGCACTGTGTTCTAATACGTAGAGGTTACGAATGCTTCTTTGACGGATCTAGAATTTTAAGTCAGTAGATCAAAGTATCACTACATATAATCATATATTGTATTAACCATTTACTCAAATTAATTTTCTTCCTATATCCGAATTCGCAATCGACTATACTTCGTGAATTTTCTAGCAAGTAGTAGTAAATGAAGTGGGTGCAAAAATTAGATCCACGGCACAATCGAACAAAACTAGAATTAGCTACGAACTTTGTCGCTATTCTATCACTCAATTGTTCGTAGCTAACAGAATTCTTAAATAATCTGTCGCTAAGTAGAATTAGCGACAAATTTTGCTGTTTAACTATAAAAATTTATCTGTCGCTAATACCTATTTTTCTTAGCAGCGCCCCTTAATATTTTGTCATTCTATTTTCTTTGAACAGAACTTTTTTGTTTGTAGTGAAGACTTGATTTGGTTTTCGTTCTCTTGAAATAGCACATATAATTGGTAGGATAATTTCTTTAAAAAACATTATCTTTAGATTTTGTGGAATTGTATTAATTATTAATTATAGTACAAGTGAATGAAAAATGCTCACGAAATCATAGCTAGCGTCATTGCTGATCAAAATTATCGTTCGTTGTCGTTATGTTTAGAAGTCGAAATAAGAAGTTTCAGCTTAAATATATTTTATTTTTCTAGAAAACAGAATAAATGTTTTTTCTTAAACATGGACTTATCCATTATCTTCAATCACGAATTAAGTGATGTGCACATCGTTATAATTGTTAAATAGAAATAATTGTATATTCGTTTTGTGATAGCGTAAAATGTTTGTAGGACATTAGATTTAAGAATGAGTAAAAGTAAAACCAAAGGATAGCTGTAACATTGTCCGCTCTAGGCCTAGGCCCTCACGGGTTTAAAATGCGTCACTAGGGTGTAAGGCTTGTTAACTTATATACCCAACATCCCTCTTATGTTTTGCCGATGTGGGACTCTGCCTAAAGTCAGGGGTGTTACATACACCACCTCGTATGGACTCAGCGTCCTCGCTTGTCCCGCCTAACCGGGATTTGCCTAAACTCAGTTGAACTCTGGCCCACCATCGGCATGGCTGACACAAGAGTGGCTCTGATACCATCTTTAACAGCCCAGCCCGCTAGTGATATTGTCCGCTCTGGGCCTAGGCCCTCACGGGTTTAAAACGCGTCACTAGGGTCTAAGGCTTGTTAACTTATATACCCAGCATCCCTCTTATGTTTTGCCGATGTGGGACTCTGCCTAAAGTCAGGGGTGTTACAATAGCTAAATAATTAAGTTGTTTTACTCAGCAATTAGTATTTATTTTAGTGTAATTTAACATGTATTAGCAGATTAGTTATCATTTTGTTCGGGTTACCAGATGATTAGCACATAATATTTTTCTTATAACTATATATATATTGTTGCTCCCAAACGCACACGCAAGTATACGTGGTCGACAAGTAATATAATGATAAGTTGAGTGTCGAACCCACAGAGACTTGTGTAAACTACTCACTAAATCACTAAAATTGTTATTCAATCTAGCTAAAAGCAAAGTCCAATAATATGATTATACTACACTACGATTCTAAATAATAACTAAATTATCAAGTAACGAAGTGATTGTTGTGTATTCAGTAGAGACAAGTATTCAAGGGTTGTGATCGATTCACCATTCGTATTGTGTTCTAATTAACTCTCCCCTTCATATAATTCACTCATGGTTGCTAATTAATCGATAAATGCTCTCATAGCCTTCTCCCGAAATACTACTCACCTATTCTCAATAGATTAACTCCTATATTCCTATGAAATCAATCTATTAAGAACGCATTAAGATTACCATATTTAATTAAGCACGGTGACTAGGTATATTCCTATCCTAACCACAAATCCGCTCCCCCTAAGGGTTAAGATCATGCTCTCTTCAATTCTTCTCTAATCTAAACACGGCTTTCCCAAGCATAGCATAGATAGTAAATAGAACCTAACTGCTGGCCAGACAATTAAGCAATTAAACACAGAATTGAAGAAACAACCATATATTGGTGGATTATAATCAAGGTCAAGCTAATATCAAACAACAATATTTATGGCTAAATCACAACCCCAGAACAATGGGTGTTTAGCTACTCATAATGTAATCAAACAATTGCATAATTGTTGAATTAATTGAAAATACTAGAAAAAGATGAAGAGAACTGATAATTCTCCGCTTCCTCACGATCCCGTGTGTGTTTTTACTCCAAAGTGGCGTCTCCCCCTTCAAAAATAGGTTTAGTCTTGCTTTTATACGTGTTGGGTAGGTCTAGGGCCGAAATAACCTTGTCCCGGGCGAAATAGGACACATTTCACGTCACCGGCGCCCAGCCCGGCGCCAGGCGCCCTCCACGGCGCCCCATTATTTGTGCACACTGTTTTCGGCGCCACAGGTGGCGCCAGGCGCTGCCTGTGGCGCCCAACTGGCCCTTTTTCCCGGTTTCGTTCGTTTTGGCTCAAATCTTGTGCGTTTTGCCCCGTTTCGTTTGGAATTTTGAAAAACGTAAAACATGAAAGTTGTAGCCCTTTGAGTTAGCTTTCCAACCATATATTGTGGAGACCAAATGGAATTGTGAGCAAAAAGTTATATCCATTTTACTAGATAGTGCGCAATATGCCTACTCGATTCTTCGTTCGCTCTAACTATCATCCGTTGACCCCCAAACACGATTCCGGCTTAATTCCCTGAGCTTTTACTCAGGCTTCAAAGCTCCAAATCACTTGAATTTATTCCATAACATCTATATAGCTCGGAATCACTCCTACAAGGCATAAAACACACAGTTAGTGCAAGACACTAGCGATTAAAGCTCAAACTCAATCAAAGTGCAGTAAATTTGAGTGTAATAATCGACTAAAATACGTAATTATATATATATATATATATATATATATATATATATATATATATATATATATATATATATGATTTGCGTAAATATATCTTTACACTGTCAATTGCGTAAAACGTATTAACGTAAACTCTTCTTTTAAAGTCAAACTTATATGCATATTTACATTGGTAATACAAAAAAAAAATTATGCTATCCATGTAATTAACTTGTAATAATATAGTAGTTACTAATTTTATCAAGTTATCAATTAAAGCTTGTCATAAAGTTTGCTTATACAGTCAAACATCTCTATAACAGCCTCGTTTATTCCGAAATTTTTTGGTTGCTATAGTGAAGTGATGTTATAAAGGACATAAATTATAACATAATATAATATTCGGTTCCGAAAAAAACTCGGCTTTTATAGTGAATAACTATTATATAAGGATGCGGTTATAGAGAGGTCGGACTGTAGTTATTTTATACATGACTTGATTGTGTACGTATTAATGCGTAGAACTTAAACTATACAGGAAACACAAATGCTTCATGTGTACTAAAGACTAGGGGCGGAGCCACAATACATGTTACGGGTTTGGTCGAATCCAGTAACTTTGGTCAAGCTCCTATATTTATCTTAAGGAATCCACTGAATATGTATAAATTCTTAATTTAAAATTCAGTAACTTAAAAGAATTAGAATTTCGAACCCTGTAACTTTAAATTCTAGCTTCGCCTCTGCTAAAGACAAAGTTGATCATCGCATAACCACAATATACATGCTGTGCAAAAACAATAATAATAACAATAACCTAGCAAAATCCCACGGGTGAGGAGTCTGGGAGGGTAGTGTATACGCAGAGCTTATCCCAACCCCAATGGATTAGAGAGGTTGTTTCCGATAAACCCTCGGCTCAAAATATACATGTTGTGCAACAACAACACAATATACATGCTGTGCAAACATGTAAATTTATGGCAGCCATGTTGCACGTTGTTCTTTTTTTATGTATTTTTTGCATGAAATTGGATATATGTGGCTACCTTAATAAGTGTGGAAAAATACGATACTTCATAGAAATCTTTGTCAAAGTTGATGTGCGTGTATAATCCTAATTATAATGGTGCGCATTAATGTTAATGACTTGTAATCTTGATCTATTAATGGATTACCTTAATTTGTTGACCAGAAGAAAATATATACTTCATTTTCAAAAGTCATAACTTTGTGCTCTAACATATATCTTTGATGTCTTGTTATTTGACAGCTTCAGTATAACTTTTTTAAATGTGGATACAGTTAAACATCTCTATAATCTGTTATAGCGAAGTACTGTTATAGAGAACAATACAATATAATATAAAAATTGATTCCATAAAAAAACCTTGACTTTTATAATGAATGGCGGTTATATAGCGATATTGTTATAGAGAGGTCTAATTGTACTTGTTTTAAACTAAATAGAGAAATGGCTTATAAGGAAATTATAATTGGAGATGGTCCAAGATTTGAAGTTTATAAGTTAAGATATACTGCTCCTCTCTTTGAAAGAAGGGGCGCTTCCGGTTTGAAACAATTTTGTCGATCTATAATAACAATCGGATTTGCGATCGAATAATAGATTTTTTAAATTAATATATATATATACAAGGTCTAAGTAAAAGTTTTAGATTCATGTGAACCCGTAACTAACCCTCTAAATCCACTCCTAATATCAAAATGATATAGAACATTGACCATATATTGATGAATTGATGCAATATTATTTGATAAATGCAATCTTGAAAAACCAGAAAATGGCTAGGAGGCAGAAAAAGGCATGTTGAATGCTTTCTTTTTGGTCAAATAATAAAACAATACCTATCTGTAAGTCAAAGTATTTTCATAAACATTAAAAACTAAGAATATTCCATCGATTTATTAATGAAGTTGGTACAGTTACACAAGCATGATTTGAAGCCGCACCACTAAAGGTAATGGTGGAGTGGTAAGTACTTCGTTCTTAATCGAAAGATTGAGTTCGAGTCCTAAGAATGGAGTCGTCTTTGGTATAGAATATTTTACTCCCAAAGCGTGAACCTCCTCGGTGTGAGTCTGAATTAGTTGGACTTGGACCCCAAAACAAATAATCGACGTTCGATGAAAAACAAAAACAAAAAAAAACAAAAAAAAGAGAATGATGCCGCAATTTTTTAAGCGAATATGTCTAGAGGAGAGGAGAATGTGCAAAACACAAAATTGGTCGGTCGGCCAAAAATAATTATATTCGCTAACTAAAAAATATATAAAATATGTTCATTGTATGTATATAATACACACTTATATATAAAATAGATATTTTATCGGCTATCATTTTTTAGAACGTTTGCCGAGGAGAATGTGAATATGTGATGGTTGGTTGTTCTACCGTTCTAATTAAAATTTAAATACAAAATAGGTACCTCTATTATCATAAAACATGCTCCCTACCTAACTACAAGGAAAACCTTATTTTTATTTTTATTTTCCTTTACTGTCTAGATAAATAATTAAATATTAGAGATGATACAAAGTTTATATTTCTAGACACTAGTTGGCATAGAGAGGCTACAATATAATAAGACTCTTCCTTAAATAAGAGGCTCACACCTGTTCTTTTGATAGCGAATCAAAAGTTTAATAACCTCGTTTTATTAAAAGTAATTTTAACCTTATAAAGTCTCTTATGCTTTATTGTAACAGCTAAAACTAATGAATATATGAGACGATGACGACGACAACAACAACGATCCTGTAAAATCCCACAAAGCGGGGTCTGGAGAGAGTAGTGTGTACGCAGACCTTACCCCTACCTCGATGGGACAGAGAGGTTGTTTCCGATAGACCCTCGGCTCAGGAAGACGGAAAAATTATGATATATTATTCCACCGGTAGATATATTATATGAGAGCCACATAATATATAAAACTATTCCACCAGTAGATATATTATACAAAAAGAAGTTACCATCCTCCAAGTCCATAATAAAAGGTCTCGAGTTCGACCCTGAGATTGGGCTCGACTTTGATAGCGAACACTTTAGTCCTAAAGTGGAACTTCTCGGAACGAATCCGGACTAGTATGGAAATATGCACTTCTAGCAAAAGTGTATAATATCTAGAAAACAAATGGTATATCTGTTTTTGACAAAACAAAATGATTCCAAAGGGGAATTAAGAAAATCACGTTCAGGCTATAAGAGGACTAGTATGAATCTTATACTCAGTGGCGAATTCAACTACAATACAAAACCCCATATATATGCGCAAAAAGCAAGCATAGATAGGGTTAGATAAATATATCAGAACTAACTTTCTCTACAACTATGACTCAACTATCAACGGTGAAAATAGCACGGGTTAGCCAATTTTCGGACTGGTAATTGAAAAATAGCCAGCGTTTGCAAAATCATCAAAAAATAGCCACTATTTTGCTGCAATACGGAAAGTTCCAACATAATATACTGAAAATTGGTGCACCTGTGAACTTACAGTATATTATGATGGAACTCCAATACACAGAAAGTTCCACCATAATATACTGGAGATTAGAGCACGTGTGTATGAACTTCCAGCATATTATGCTGGACCAGTACATTATACTGGAACTGGAAGTCCAATATATTATACCGGAACTCCAGTATATTATGCTGGAATATTTTCTGGAGTTTGAACAGTGTTTTCGTTCAGATTTATATTTACATGAAAAGTGACTAAATTTCGATTACTTTTAAAACTGTGGCTATTTTTCAATTACCAATTATAAATCTAGCTATTTATGCAAGGTAGATGCAAAAGCAAAACTTCTCAATAACTTCTTTTTGCCCAGATGCTATTAGAAATTACACAGTTGGCTACATGATTTTTGGTAGCCAGTAAATTTGAAGGAAAAAATGTTAAAGGTCCTATTGTGCTCAAACAAATTGCTTTACCAGCAACTAGAAGAGATGTTTTACAGACTCATAAAACAAATAGAAGAAGCAAAGCTCTAATTTTTCTCTGAAAAAATCTAAGCAACCATCTCGAGAAGCACGATCAAACTCACTCTTCTTTCTTAGCTTTAGATCTCGCAGGTTTTGCTGGCTTAATCACTTTACCGAGCAGGATTAGTACAATCGGTATAATGGTTCCGATATAGTACACACTTCCATAAGAAGTGAGCGTTTCATGCAGACTTAATACCTGTAACACGCGAGCAAGAAAACCTATGTCAGATTATATCAATGATATTAGCCTCGAGCAAAGTATGTTCCGAGAAATACACTACTAACCATGAAGCCAACAGCGGAGTAGTTTAGAACCAACAGGGTGTACGCAAAGTTCATCAATGTTAGTATCTTCTCAAACAGAGTACCTTTTGTAGCTTGCTGCCATCGGTAAATGACTGCGGATAGACAAGATTTTATTACAAGATAAGTAAAATTTGTGTGATTTAGCTAGGATTGCCAGATGAATACCTCTTGATCCAGCAATCATCAAAGCGGACTGAACAAAGAATATAATGTACCCTGGATATAGTCCCTGTGACGTCACACAATGAGTTGTTTTCATTAGTTTGACTATCATGGTACTACAACAAGTAATGCATAATAAGCAGGGGTTTGAATGGAAGATGGAGCGGAAAGCACAGTATCTTATTCCAAATACAAGCCAGACAATCACATCTGTAAATTCACAACAAAGATAATTGTAGTGTTTATTATTAAGCATCAAGTATGAGAGAAATAGGAAGCACAGCTTACTTGTCGGTTTCCTAAGGTTAGATGCCATTAAACTAGTTCTGAGAAGTGCAAAAGCAACTCTTTCGGACTTGTTTGATAAAAAATATTCTGATGTGTTTAGACAGTAAAGAAGTTCGGACGAGGATATATTGCATGTTGAGATCAATGGTTTTTCAATGTAATATAGCTGAAATGACAGGGTCAGTATGAAGATGTTTGATACAGGCAATAGAGTCATGGTTATTGACATGTAGCGACAAGGATACCTTGTATCTAAGAGGGTGGATCGTAATGACCCATATTCTATGTCAATTGTTTTTCTTATTGTAGTCACAACACTTGGTGGAGAAACAGTAAGGGGAGAAAAATAAAATGTCCCCTCATACTTTGCAAAATCACCAAAACTTTTCAAAATGATATAAAAGATGATTTAGTTTAAAATACAACAACATACCTAGTAAAATTACACTAGTGGGGTCTGGGGCGAGTGGAGTGTACGCAGACCTTACCTCTACCCCGGAAGGGTAGAGATGATTTAGTTTAAAATAATGTGCAAAAAGTAACACCATCTTGGTAAAACATTTAATGAATACATTTTTTATATCAAAAAGAAAACGATGACCGAAAAGAGGACCTCAAAGTATACTATTTGGTGTGGCACCCAACTTGAAGTTCAAAATAATGCAGATAATGTCCATGAAGTTTGAGGAATACCATAAAGTAAGGGGAATTGTATTTGAAGTTCATATTGTCTTTAAGAAAGATGCTACGGTCAAATTAATTTCTTTTCCAAGTCTTTTTGCATTTACGTCAATAGGAATATTTGGAACAATCTATCTCTTAATGTTCTAGTATGCGTCTAGGTACCCTTTAATTCTTTTTCAATTTTCTGTAATTTGGTTGAAGCTTGAACAGCAGAGAATAGAACACAAAGCAGTCACCCAAAGTGTGGTCGACAAGTAACTAATAAACAGCCTCAATAATGAAGCTGTAATATCTGATATTAAAACTTGGCAGCTAAACATTACAGATATGAACCGGAAGTTGTGAAGAGATTTGATCTCTGCTGATCCTTTGCAAGTGTTTCCCATAAAAGCTTATTTTTCCTTTTCTTTTTTTTTTTTTTTTTGACAAAGCTTATTTTTCCTTGTGTGTTTGAAGCAGACTTGAAATAAGAAATTTTCAAAAGTATCTAAGGAAACTCTCCCCCTAATTTCCTCTCTTCGCTTCCTTTTTCAGTCCTATCTTAGTCCTGTTATTCTCTGCTTATCTCCTCACAGTTTCTTCACTTCCGCACATACATCCAGCCCCTAAAACAATCTTAAAACCCATTTTTTCCTTTTCATATCAGCCTCCTGAGTGTCTTAAGTTTTTCCACAGAAGATTTTCAAAAGTTAATCTTATTTCTTTCTGGTGCTAGAGTTAAAGATCCGGCATTCATAGGAAGATTGCGGACTGCACTGTTTAGTACATATTATGTTGCTGCCCCAGAAATTTGAAAAGTCATAATACGCATTAAATTAAATTCCCCTACGCACCATCAGACACTGGATGAGCACATGAGTAACACATTAAACATTGTCCATGAGCCACTTTTCAGTGACACAGGCAGTCAAGCTTAGGATGATCGCAAACAAAGGAGTAAAGATTGAACTTTACCATGGTAAAATGTCAAGCAAAAATCAGTTCAGAAGACAAAAGTTAAAACGGCTGAACTGGAAAAACTATGTAAAGATCATTTCTCCAATATTGCCACACCACATATCGACAAAATCGACCACCAATGCATCAGTTCATGTTTAGTCAAATATAGATCATGTAAATATGTCCCTACAAGTATTCACCATTTAAGAAGTTATTAAATGAACTTGCATAACAATGGTGCTAAAAGATCCACTTACATGCCATACAGCACTGACAGTCTGTGTAGCCAGCAACTGGAAGAAACCAGGCTTCCTTCCCTTCTGTACGAGCCTCTCATATACATCTGCACAATAAAAATATAAAAAGGCATAATAGATTAAGTCATATAGGAAAGGCACACCAAGTTCCTGTCTGTATCAGAAAGTCAAAGTTCACTGATAAATGATAGGGCAAAGAAATCTAGAAACCTCAAACCCCATTTTTCTAAGAACCACCGTTAAGCTTCAAAGGATAATTGGTCAAGCAGATGAAATAAAGCTAGTACACCCTCAATAGTCAATACTGACTTTTATGTGAACTTAAAGTAGCAATGAGCATTGGTTCCTTACACTCTATTATTCTGCTAAGAGCTTAAGTAAATATGCCTGCAACATTATACGCCACTAAATAGGCTGATATTGGTTTCTCTTTTGAGTGTTTTCATTATGATTAGCTGTCATACACACAAACAGAAAATCCTCTACTACGTAACTATAAAATTTGCACATATTCAACTTGATAGCTTGTCAACAAATACACTGCCTTTAGTTGACCAAATATTACATTCTTACCTGCAGAAAAAATGGTTATGCTAGAAGTTATAAGCCGACATGTTAAATGACTAGAAGAAAAGTTACTTACAGTGTCGCAGCCAGGTGCTGACTTGAATGTTCCATACAAGAGGTAACTGAACTGAACTTTTTGCCAACTCAACACCCAATACGTCAACATTTTTTGCACGGTCCCATCGTGGTTTCGGTGGAGAAGAGTCTGTCCAACCACTGAACCCCAAGCCAGAAATAATGATAGAGGCTTCTGAGATTGACCAGATAAAATAATATTTCCACCGCGCAGTAAATCCCGCCATATATTGGTAACTCAACCGTTTCAAGAAACCCCATTCTTGGTATAGTGGGTCAGAGAACCTGGTAAGCGGGTAAAGAGGCACCAAGTAGAGGTACAACCCCATACAAAAAGCAGATTGAAGAAGAGCCCTCAAAGTTGCCCCAAAAGGTGATGGATGTCCTTTCTCAGTAGATTTCCAGATCTGAAAAGGAGGAAGGACGTGGATGTAGTCATTAGTTGTAATGAAATTCAAAGTGCAGAACTCAATATAATTATGATATTAACGTACGCCTTTTCTCTCCGTCCAGTCAAGGTAATCCTTCATTTCATACACTGGACCAGCAAAATGACTTCCACAACACAGACAGTAACCAAAGTACTCAAGTACAGATGGCAACTTGAGCAAACGATTTTTCTTCTGAGCCTCACGCAAATCCTCCTCCTTCAACAATCCATCTTGGTAATTGATAACACATGAAATTATTTTTAGTGTTACCACCATTAAAGCTCCTAAAAGAGAACAAAAATCATTTCTGGATTAGCTATATCTAGTAATACGATAACTAAACTCTGAAACTGAAAATAGTATTTTTTACAAGTCTGTAGAGTACCCATAAAGGCATATAAAAGCACTACTGCCAGCATACCATCTAGAAATTCAAGATGATTCAGATCTTATAATAAGGAGTGCTCCTCGATCCTTATCAAATAATAATAATAATGGGTGCTCCTTGCATGATCACAATTTTTTCACTGAATCTGCACTAAATCAGTCTGATGCAAGCCCTAAAATGTCTTTTGTTTTATCATCTAGACACTAAATGACAAACACTGATGAGTTTGCTTAATCACTACATTCAAGCGTGGAATCTGACATAAATCCTGACCTACCAGAAGAAGAATCATCTGCGCAAATAATTACACTCAATAGACGTGATGCTTGAGATTAAGACAGGACAAAGATCAAAGAAGCATTTACCTGTTGCATCAATACCTCCTTCCTTCCACGCATCCCCACTCATGTAGTAAACATGGCTGCACAAATATAGTTGTAGCTAAGTATTAGAAAAAGTGCTACTTTTATCTTATGCAAACCACGATCTATGACAAAGTACTACCTTTATTTATTATTTTGATACAAATGATTACCAAATATACCTGCACATTACATAAGGAAGCACAGAATACATTGTATTATAAAATGACGACATGTGAACACATAGCGAAATGAATAAAAGCATCACCAAAAACCAGTGTCAGTAGCATGACAAAATACTACTTTTGTTTACTATTTGGGACAAATTATCACCAAATATACATGTTACAAAAGGAAGCACACAATACATTGTCTTTAAAATGACAAGATGCCAAAACATAGAAAAATGAATAACCGGTGTCATTAACAAGATGCGAACATTATCCCACTTTAACCTAGTACAAGAATATTATTTAATTGCGTAAAATTCTATGTTAAAATGTCAATACAAAATATTCCTAATGTAAATGAAATCCACAAGTAAATTTCTCCTTTCCTTTTAACTCGATTATATTAAAAACCTAAATTACCTGAAATTAACATGAACCAACTCATTCACGAAAGCTCGACATCCAGATGCAAAGGAACTCACAATAACAACACAATGTTAAGAAGATAGACCCATTAGACAAATATACTAAAGGAACTAGAAAAAGAAGGAGATGGGTGCAAAACCTAACACCTTAATTGAAACAAAATCACTGAAATTTGACACACATGCAACTAAAGATCACAGTTACTACTCCTATACTTTCAAAGTTCAGCAACCAATTTGCTTAGTCCCACATTGGTATAGGGAATGGGTTATGGTCTTATGCAATCCCACCCTCATGAGCTAACTTTTGGGGTGGAGTTAGGCCCAACACCATTTCTTCACACAATTACGCAAATCGAACGGAGAAATTAGTAAGACTTGACACATGCAACTAAAGTTTGTAGCTTTATAGACTTCTACTCCTATAGTTTCAAAGCTCATCATCCAATTAAGCAAATTGCATGGGGTGAGCTCATAAAAAATAGAGCAGCCCGGTGCACTAAGCTCCAGCTATGTGGGGGCTTTGGGGAAGGGCCAAGCCACATTGGGTTTTATGTATGCAGTCTTACGTTGTATTTCTGCAAGAGGCTATTTTTCGTGGCTTGAACCCGTCTTGCTAGCAGAAACTTTTACCACCAAGGCTCCCCTTCTAGAGGGTGAATTCCATATAGGAAATGAAAACAAAAGGCACGACAGCAATGCTCAATCCCAAACTAATGGAGTCGGTTATATGAATCCTCAATATCCATACTACTCCATCATACCATTTTCATTCTACTACCTGATAATTTATCTTAATCTTACTCTTCAGTAGTAGAGCTTTTCTACATTTCTAATGACAACCAAATAAGAGTAAGCCTTAATTCCAACTAGTTAGTATTTCCAATATAAATCTTTTGTTTTTATACTGTTCCATTCATGTTAACTCTACATAAACTCCTAAAAATGAAGACTTTTTGAAATAGAAACAAAAGGAGGATTTGATATTAACCAGAATATCACATTAGCCAAATTAAGAGAGAGAGAGAGAGAGAGAGAGAGCAAGAGAGAGAGAGAAATACCATCCAATAAGGTAACCAAAAGCAATGAAGAAAGTGATGATCCCACAATAACTCCTCGATACAACCATAGAACCGTAACCCAAAACCATAGGCACCAAAAAATGAAGATTCGAAGAGAATCCAAACGACAAGTAGGACAAAAAACCGCCCATCACGGCGGCGTATAGGTGTTTTCCGGTGGCGTAAGGAACAAAACGGCGGAGGAAGCTCACCGGAATGGTGGCGATAAAACAGAGTAGAAATCGAAGCACAGGTACCGATACTCCGATCGCCGTCGCCATTGATTCCATCTCCGGCAGCTCCATTTTGGACAAAACAAAAAATAAAAATGGGTCCTTTTTATTTTAATTTAAGTATAAATTCCTATAAGATTGGGAGAAATTCAAAAATAGCCAGATTTAGCACTAATCGTTGAAAAATAGTTAAGTTTCAAAAGTCATCGAAATTTAGCCACTTTAAATTTGAGCGAAAACACTGTTCAAAATTCGGAAAAATACGCCCGCAAATTTTACGGGAGTTCCAGCATAAGTATGCTTGAAGTCCCGTAAATTTTACGGGAGTTCCAGGATAACTATGCTGGAACTCCCGCAAATTTTACGGGAGTTCCAGCACGTATAATTGTCCAGTATAATATACTGGAGTTTGGAGCACTGGTGCTCCAATCTCCCGCAAATTTTACAGGAGTTAGCAAAGTATACCGGTCCAGCATAATATGCTGGAGTTCGTACACAAATATACCAGAACTCCCGTATATTATACTGGAGCGGTCCCTGTTGCAGCAAAATAGTGGCTATTTTTCATTGACTTGATAAACGCTGACTATTTTTCATTGACCAATGTGAAAATTGGCTATACCATGATATTTTAACGATTCTTTGCTTATACATGAGGGTATTTAAGGAGGAAGAAAGTTCGAAATATTTAATTTAAGTAGTATGGTTTTTTGGGAATTGTTTACGACTATATTAATGTATTAATTGGAAAGTTAGCACCAACTCGCTTTTCGAGATTAGTTTGACTAGTCCTTAAAATTAATTTAAGTAATATAAAATTAAAATTTAAATATTTAAAAACTACATAAAAATATTATGATTTGTATAATAAATTATTAATCAAAGTTTATATAATTCGGCTCTCGACAAATAAAATGTGATATGTATTTTACAGAATAGTATGACAAAGGAAAAACAAGGTTGGAAACTTTAAATAAGAATAAAGATGAATTTGGATTGAGACATAATATTACTGGTACATAAGTTTACATTTGTCTAATATTTTTTAAGAGTCTTTTCATATTATTTTCAACCGGTATATATATCAAATAAATCTACCAAGATTTGAACAAATAAAAATATATCTCCTCATAGATTTTATCTCTGTTGAAATTTGAACTGTGATCTCTAAAACTTGCACCAAGAAGTTTATTTAATCTTGTTAATATAATGTATGTTAATAGAAAAATATAAAAAACTTTTACTGCTAGAAACTTAATTTATTAAATATTGGGATAAAATATGTCTAAATTATGTGAAATGGATAATGAAAATTAATATAAAAGACGTTATGAAGGGCAGTCTTGGCGTAACTAGCAAAGTAGTTGCCACGTGACCAGAAGGTCACGGGTTCAAGCCGTGAAAATAGCTTCTTGCAGAAATGCAGAGTAAGGCTGCGTACAATAAATCCTTGTGGTCCGGCCCTTCCTCGAATCCCGCACATTGCGAGAGCTTAGTGCATCGCGTTGCTTCTAATATAAGAGATGTCAATTAACTTAGAACTAGGCGTATTATTTTTATTATTGTTATTGTTATTATAAATTACAAAGTAAACCAAAAGAACAAGAGATAAAATAATTGGGAGAGATTGAAGTGAAGAAAAGACAAAAAGGAAATTTGTGAAAGGATTTTGTGGATTGAGAGTTGCATAGAGAAACATGGCAAGAATATTCGTGTGGTTTCAAGTTGAAGTTGTTTGACATTGGATAGGATTTTGGATTTTGTATTGGTCGAATGGACACACCTATGTGCTTTTTCTAAGTTTCTTCTTCTGATTAATTTTAATCTTTTCTGAAGTAAGATGGGGCCAAGAAAGAAAGACTTTGAATTTGAATTTTACATCTAAGTAGTGACGAGATGCATAAGTCATCGATTGAGGGTCAAACTCAACCTTAAAATCTAACTTACTGTATATGATTAAAATCAGGTGTTCCCGATTTTGTAGGTTCGAGCGGTCGCGTCGAGAACAAGTTCAAAATAAACCGGGCTCAAGCCTGATGGCAGAATACAGGACTCGATGATCGAAGTGCTCGATGAACACCGGGGCCGAATATGACCAACCTCGAGATAATACCGTTTTGATTTTATAACAGAAAGAGTGAGATTCCCGCGGTGGCCTTAAGATCACGGCGTAAATTCCGGAACGGATTTGTATTAGGCGGTTAGACAGCTGTATAAAAAGATTCCCTACTGTAATTAGAAATGTACCTTATTTAGGATTCCCCCACTATATAAAGGGGATCCCAATCATTTGTAACACACGAATCATTGAGAAGAGAATATACATATTTCACTTTCTTGCTTACTGTTCATCTGACTTGCCTTATTATTTTATTGTTCTTATCCACCTACCTCGAGGTTGCCACTGTTCGAGGTCGAGGTCTGCTTATACGTCGGTTTTGACTTACCTTACTCTTTAATTTATACATTAGATTCCTTGTTTATTAATTAGTATTGGTTTAAATCACATATCTTTAAAACCACAATACAAGTTTAATTGTTACTCGGATTTTAGGCTAAATAGTGTGGCGCCCACTGTGGCGCTAAGGATGATAGTGATTGTTTCAGTACTAATTCTGATAACACATGTTATTTCCACACTTGTTCTTGTCAAGAATTTTTGTTCTCAGGTTGAATCCTGTCAAACTCGCAAAATGCACCCGTACATGGCGATGATGGTCTTGGACTTCACGGGAAAAATGATAATGTAGTTGCTCCAGGAGCCGGTGTGGCACCAATTAAACCCGGGGAAGTGCCGATTGCAGAACCAGTCGGTGTTAGTTCGCACATCGCTTTGAATGCGAACTTAGGCGCAGACCCCAGAGGAAGTGTATGCAGGGAAGTCTGATCTACGGGCCAAGGAACATAGGGTGTAGGAGATGGGGGAGCTAGTCTCCAGGTAATATTCGAAATGCTACAAGCTCAACAGGTTGTTATCGCTCAGCTTCAAAGTCAACATAAAACTCCGAGTGTGGCCGAACCAGAAATGACTCGTCGTATTGAGCCGGTGCCAAAAAGGATGAACGGTAATGGATCGGGGACTGATCTTGCAATTATAAAGATGCTCGAGGATCTCACCAAGAGAATCGAGTCGGAGAGAAAAATCGAAGATAACGACAAGAAAGTGGAAACATACAACTCCCGTGTTGATCAAATACCGGGAGCACCCCCGATTTTAAAAGGTTTGGATGCTAAGAAGTCCGTGCAAAAGCCATTTCCTCGGAGTGCGGCCCCAAAGCCCATTCCTAAGAAATTCCGTATGCCGGGTATACCTAAGTACAACGGGACGAGCGATCCTAATGAACATATCACTTCGTATACATGCGGGATTAAAGGAAACGACTTAAATGATGATGAGATCGAGTCGGTTTTGTTGAACAAATTTGGGGAAACTCTATCAAAGGGAGCAAGGATTTGGCATCACAACTTGCCACCGAATTCCATCGACTCATTGCTATGTTAGCGGACGCCTTCGTGAAGGCGCACGCCGAGGCCATAAAGGTCGCAACAAGGAAATCGGACGTTTTTAAGATAAGACAGAGAGGTGATGAAATGCTAAGGGAGTTCGTATCCTGATTTCAAATGGAGCGAATGGAATTACCACCGGTCACAGATGATTGGGCCGTTCATGTCACGACCCAAACCGATGGGCCGCGACGGGCACCCGGTACCTTACTCAATCGAGTACTAACGTAACGTATCTTTCTTATTATATTATCATATACACGTGACATACGGGCCTAATAGGCCAACATAATTATTTATAAATCAAGACATAGGCCGACAAGGCCGTACAATCTTTCACGTACACGACATATGTCTACAAGCCTCTAAGAGTACATAAATGTCATAAAGGTCGGGACAGAGTCCCGCCATACCAAACAATACACGTCTAAATCATACTAACCAAACGAGCAACTCCGAAGCAAATGGAGCGCACCAACATATTCCGCTGAGCTGATAGCCAACTTGGAGAGCTCTCGACCTGTCTATCGGGACCTGCGGGCATGAAGCGCAGTGTCCCCAGGCAAAAGGGACGTCAGTACAAATAAAGTACCGAGTATGTAAGGCAGGAAAGCATAAACAAGAACAGTAATGTAAAGAGAGATAGAGGAGATACAACCTGTAACATCTGAGTGCCTCTGGGGCTACTAACATGAAATGCATAATACATATATATACATAAACTTTTAAAAACATACGCCTCTGTGGGCATCATCATCATCATATCGTACCGGACCTCAAAGAGGACTCGGTAAAAACGTACCCCGCCATCATAAGGCTCGGTAGAATCATACCCGGCCACGTGGAGCTCGGTAAACCCAACTGATCAGTGATTGCACAATAGGTGTCGTACCCGGCCGACTATAGCGTGGCTCGGTAGAGTAAAATAGATACATATATATAATGCATGCTCGACTCATGTGATCACGTTCTAAACCTTTCGGAGTGACGTAAGAACATTATGGACATACATACCCTCAATATGAACTTCACTAGGACTTACGGAACGTACATACTTTCTTAGAATAACTTTGTACGGATAGAACAACATGGACAACCTTAATTGCTAGGAGTAGATTCATTATGAAATAGCGTATTCATTTCACATTAGATAATGCAAAAGAAGAAAGGAAGTGTCTTAACATACCTTAATTGCTCATAACTATTCAACCAAGAAATATCCAGCTACTCCAAGACGAGAATTCTTAAAGCCATGAGAGTGACCCTTGAATCTGTCACTGCCAACTTGAAGATTCATCTAATACTTCCATTGAAAACTCCATTTTTGGTTTGACTTGCACAAATTTCCATATACTTTTAGTACAAATATAACGTCACAAGAAAATTTCTAAGTTGCTTACTTTGTTGGCTCTAAATCAGTTGACTATTATAGCTTGAACAATTCAAATTAAGATTCTTACACCTTAGTTCTTATATGAATTCAAGAGATTAGTTCAGTCACATGGCTTCAAATTGTCCGCCTTTTCTATTTTCATCAAAATATTAGTGTTTCTGGAGATGGGAATAGTTGTAACTAATTTTGGACGAAATTGCTCTTAATGAAGCTTTCGTTTGAAATGAAATGCTTCTGC